CAGTGGAGTTCGAGTCGGGGTGGGCCATAAAGTTGTAGTTGAGTTCACCTTTTGCCATGCAGACAAGGGGAAAATATGTTGGTGTAAGAAAGTTACAAAAGAGAGCAAGAACACCTGGTACTACTAGCCTGTCAGTGGTAGCCCTGGTGGGCATCTACATTCAGTGGAGCTGCGAAGGAAAAAAATACATCAGTCAAGACATCAGTAGACTCCCGTTCGATTCGGGGTTGGGCCATGCACCACGGACATTGCATTTTTTATTTTATTTTATTTCAACACTGAGAGGTTGTGGAAAGGATACTGCCACTGCGAGTACAAGCCCGTCCACTGAGCCCTCGGGCACATCGGCTTATTTTCGGGACAGGTTCGGGGCCTAGGCTATCCCTTGATTGCCGAGGACCGGGCCGGTGTGTGTGGCGCGGAGGTGTTTGTCAGCAGTCCCTCTGGTTGTCGTCCACCGTCGTCGATGATCCGCTTCGACACGCTCCCGCCCGAGGTCATGCAGGCCATGTGCACCCCGATGCACCAGATCCTCCCCCCCACGCCCCTCCCCGCCGCCGCCCCCTCCTCCTCGTCCCACCCGTCCTCCTCGTCCCCCTACGCGCCGTACACCCACGGCCAGCAGGTCCACCAGCCGCAGCCCCTCTCCGGCGCCCTCTACCTCGGCTCGCTGAGCGCGGTGAACGACCACCCGCTGCTGCGCGCGCACGGGATCAAGCACCTCGTGCAGGCGCTCGAGGCGCCGTGGGCCCCGCCGTGCCGCAAGGAGGACGGGTTCGTCGCGTATAGCATCGATATCAGGGACAAGGAGAGCGTCGACCTGCGCCCGCACCTCGAGGCCGCGTGTGTGTACATCGAGCGCGCGCTGCGGAGGGGCGAGGGCGTATTGGTGCACTGTCAGCAGGTGCGATTTCACTCCTCTTTCCCATTCCCTTTCGTTCTGTTCTTTTACTGACCATCCCCATCTCTTCATTTATTCTATATATTTTACGCTCCGCCAACGCAGGGCGTCTCCCGCTCGCCCTCGATCGTGATCGCGTACCTGATCCGCAACCACGCCATGTCGTACGACGCCGCGCTCGCCTTCGTCAAGCGCAAGCGCGCGTGCGCGAAGCCCAACCCCGGCTTTGCGCGCGCGCTCGTCGAGTGGGAGGCGAGCTGGCGCCGCCCGCAGGTCGGCCGCCGGTTCACGTCCTAGGTGGCGTGCGTCGGCGGGCGCGACTGCTTCACGCCAATGCGGAGTGCGGAGTGTCGCCGCGTGGGGCGGGCCATTCGTAATGCTAATCCTAATCGCGGCGCGTGGAGGGCACGCCTCGTGTGCGCCTCGTGCCGGCCGCGAAGCACAGGCACCACAGGCACACCAACCAACCAACGTCAAGGGCTGATGCATCCCACGCGCCACCTCCACCCATTCATCCATCTGGCATCGACTTTGACTTTCCATGTTCCATGTATCCCTTCCTGATTCCTCCTCCAATCGAATTCGATCTCTTGCGCCACCGCCATCTCACGCTCTTGGCTTGGCTGACGCGCATGCACGTCTTTTTTGTTCTAGTATTCTGTTTTGTTCTCTCCTATCCTGTCCGTCGTCGCTCGCTCGCTCGCTCGTATCTCCACGTTCCCTCCCTGCGTCCTTCCCTCGTTGAACCCCTCGCTCCTTGATTTATTTATCACTCCATCTCCGTCTTCCGTCTCCCGTCGTCCGTCTGTACATCCATCTCTCGTTCCCTGTACATACATACATCTTACACTTTACACACTACACGCTTCGCACACCATACACGTCTGGGGCCGTTGTCGCTTTACTTGTTTTGTTTCGGTTTCGGTTTCGGTTTTGCTTTTGCTTTTTTTTGGGATATATTGGGGTTTTTTGGTGTTTCTTGGTGTCTCGCCTGGGCAGGGTTTTTTTGAGCGAGTGAGGGAGCGGGTGAGCGGGTGAGTGCGCGCGTCCGAGTACCCCGGCGAGGCGAGCGCGTCCGTGTCCGAGTGCGCGGCCGAGTCCGAGGTCCGAGAGTTCGAGTACGCGAAGCGCGTACTGTATTGCTTATTTGCGTATCGGCGACTCGCGATATTATGTATACTCGAGAGTCTGAGTCTGAGAGTCTGAGAGTCTGAGTGTCGGGCTGCGGGCTTCTCAGGGTGCGATTCGACTCGGCGCGTTCGCGGTGTATTCAACTTCGACGAGGGTTATAATTATTTCGTCGGGTGTGGTGTATGGTGCATCCTCCCTCTCACTGTCCATAAACCAGAAAGGGAATGGGAGAGACCCGGGTTCGATTCCTGACGCCCGAACTATAGCTGAGTCGGTATTTTTTTTTCGGTGACGAACCAGCCGACGTTCCAAGCGCGAGCTGAACCTGAAACAAATCAGGCAAGCGGCAAGGAGGTCGGAAGGATGCTGAGGGTGCGAGTTGGATCAATGCAAAGCCCAGAGTCTTGTGCCGAGCGAGAACGAGGTGGGACCGCGGCAACGACGAAGGCCGGGTGTGAGAACGACGTAGGACAGATCCGGGGCAAAGGGGGATCATATTGGGAGTGGTACTGGGTACAGAATATATAGTAAGTAGAATAGGAGCGAAATGGAAGATGCCGAGTCTAAGACAGGCGGATCTAAATATTGGATCGGGCGGATATCATACGGACGCAGCGGGACGCGATGCACGTCATCTCCTCCCAACTGAAAATATGACTGTCCCTAGTCACTGGCAACGTCGAAATCGAACGCAAGAGGACAGAAGTGGAATGGGGTGAGGATGAATAAAGCCGAGAAAAGACGTGTCGACGGGGTGCGGCAAAGAAATGGTGCGTGAAAAGGTGGCGGTGTTCCTAATTAGAACCTTCAATGCGTGGTTGAATGAGGCGGTACGACACTGCAATGAGTAGATGTGTGGATGGAAGTGGCGTGAAAAATCCTGAAAAATGCGGGGAATAATGGTCCGTGGGCGAAACATTGGCGGTGAAATAAGAGATGTTGGCATAACAAGAAAGGTGTAGAATGTTGAGGAGTGAAGAAGAAGCGATACGTCGAATGGTGGTTAATCGCGATGGCTGAAACGGCTGAGTTGTGAATCTGAATTTCGCTTGAAATCAGCATAGTATTTGTCGAGGAAGGTGGCGGGAGGAAGCACATTGGGCGTAGGAGCGTCGATGGGGAGATGCGGTATCAAAGGGACTGGGTACGCGATTCCGGGCGTGTTCGTGGCGGCGGCGAGAATCTGGGTGCGTGCGTCGGGTGCCAACGATAATAAATCTCGCATAGTAATCGCGAATGGCACGTCGGGGTTCGATGCAAATGCGAGCATGGAATCTTCGGGCGGCGGCGTGGGTGTCGAGCGAAATGGTGTGTCGAGTGATGGAGCAGGAATTTTACGACGCAGCGGCGGCGGTGGTGGCGGAGGAAGACCGAAGTTACGCATTCGAGGCGGAGCATAGCCGGGAATATCCTCGGGGCGGTTCGATGCGGGAGGCAAACGGTACATAGGACGAGACAAATGGTGCGGTGGATATAAGGATGCGGACGGGGTGCTGGACGGTGAATTCGACGGCAGTTGTGGTGCGGTGGGTGATGCAATGGAAGGGGAAGCGGTACGGAGCGAAGCGAGCTCGCGTTCGATTTCAGCGATGCGAATTTCGTCGGGATCCGGTGAATCGATGCCTAACTCGGAACGGAACGCATTGATTTCGCGTTCGAGAGCGGCGATTTCTGTATCGTGACATAACGGGGGCGGAGAGCTGCCGGGAGGCGATGGTGTTGGAGCGGAAACGGCGACGATGGGTGATGCAGATGATGCGGATGATGCGGTAGCGGCGAGTTGGCAAGTGTAAGCTGCAATGCGAGAGCGAATATTCAATCCTGGAACGGAATGCGGGACGAATAATCCGGATGGTAAGACAATTTTACCACGGGCGTTACGTTGGCAAAGACCGGCACGAATGTCATCGGAAACTCGGGGACAACATCTAATGAAATGGGCGGGATCGCTGCAATAGCTGCACGTGAATGGACGGCGGGGCGGCTGCGAGACGTGCGATAAATCGCGGATACAGAAAGCAGTGATGGCTCGTATGAGCGCCGAGATTAGCTCGATGAGTGCGGAGGTCGTAGCTTCGGGGGCGCATGCGAATGACGGCGGGGACGGGAGTGTGTAAGACATGGCGGTGCGAAAGGGGCGATGAGATACGCGGAACGGAAGCGATGCCGAAATGAATCAGGGGCGGAATACTACGTGATGCAAGCGATAGAGTGATGCGTGCGAGGTCGAAGCGATACGAGCGATGCGTGGGCGAAGGTATGAAGGCGACGAGGTGGAGAAATGTGTGGTGTGAAAGGGGCTGTGAAATACGCGGAGCGGAAGCGATGCCGAAATGAATCAGGGGCGAGTGTCAATAATTCGTGGGTGCGAAGCGTGAGCAATGCAAGGTCAATGTGACGCAAAGGCGAAGCGATACGTGGGCGAAGCGATACGAAGGCGACGGGGCGGAACGATACGTGTACGAAGCGATAAGAGGGCGACGTGGAACGAGGAATATGGCGAAGGCAGCAAGAATGAGACAGTTATTGAATCCCCTCGCGGTGGGCTCCAAAATGACGAACCAGCCGACGTTCCAAGCGCGAGCTGAACCTGAAACAAATCAGGCAAGCGGCAAGGAGGTCGGAAGGATGCTGAGGGTGCGAGTTGGATCAATGCAAAGCCCAGAGTCTTGTGCCGAGCGAGAACGAGGCGGGACCGCGGCAACGACGAAGGCCGGGTGTGAGAACGACGTAGGACAGATCCGGGGCAAAGGGGGATCATATTGGGAGTGGTACTGGGTACAGAATATATAGTAAGTAGAATAGGAGCGAAATGGAAGATGCCGAGTCTAAGACAGGCGGATCTAAATATTGGATCGGGCGGATATCATACGGACGCAGCGGGACGCGATGCACGTCATCGGTCGTGAAGAAATCGAACGGGGAGGAATCATGGGTAGGTAGTTGGGTTGAAGGAGAGGGTATAGAGTCGGGTGTGGTGTATGGCACATCCTCCCTCCCACTTGTCAATGCCCTGTGGAGTTTGATGGGAGAAACCCAGGTTCGATTCCTGGCGCCCGAGTAGGCACCACCGCAAATGGATTTTTTTATCAGAATCACCAGGTCAAAGACTGAGTATATTTTTGAAAATATATGAAGGTCTCAAGTGAACTAAGTATCCGCTGTTATTTTCTGGATTTGCTCCAATCCAGGGTTGGTAAGATTCCGGAGAATTTCCTGGTATAATGAGTCTAGCAGAGGGGCGTTTCGTCGGGTGGCGCACACTCCCTCTCGTTACAGTAGAAAAGAGATTTCCTGGGAGAGACCCGGGTTCGATTCCTGGCGCCCGAACTACATGCTTCGTGTCTGTGTTTGTTTTCTCGGTCTGCAAGATATTTAGTGACAGGACTCATAGGTAGGTAGGTAGTTGGGTTAAGGAAGAGGGTATGGAGTCGGGCGTGGTGTATGGCACACCCTCCCTCCCACTTAGGAGTAGCTGCGATCAAGTTTGATGGGAGAGACCCAGGTTCGATTCCTGGCGCCCGAACTTAGTGGATGGTGTGAATCCTTTTTTCGGTCTCAAGAAATCGAACGGGGAGGACTCATGGGTAGGTAGGTATGTAGTTTGAGGGACAGGGTATCAAGTCGGGTGTAGTGCATGGTGCACACATCCTCTCAAGTCACTATGGGAGAAGAAATTTGATGAGAGAAACCAGGTTCGATTCCTGGGGCCCGAGTAGGCACTGCCGAAAAGCTTTTTTTATCAGTATCACAGGTCAGAGGCAATGCATTCTGAACGTCAATACTCACGTTGAACATAGGGCGTTATTCGGCTTCGAAGAGGCTTATTTCGTCGGGTGTGGTGTATGGCACCCGCTAGCACTCGCTCCCTTATAAGTACTTGTCAGTCCCCTGTGGAGGTTGATGGGAGAGATCCGGGTTCGATTCCTGGCGCCCGAGTAAAAAGTGAAGCTGGGAGACATTTTTTTTTAATCAACGTCTCGGGTACAGGTCGATGGTCGGAGGGGAAAGAGGGAGGTTTTATTTCTGAAAGTATCGAGTTGAACGAAGTATCCGCTGTTATTTTCCGGATCAATTCAGAGTTGTTGGGATCGCAAAAAGAAATTGGCGTATAATGAGCCTGGGAGAGGTGTGTTTCGTCGGGCGTGGTGTACGGCACACACTCCCTCTCACTCTCCATGAACCAAAAAGGATTTCAATGGGGGAGACTTGGGTTCGATTCCCGGCCGAACTAGATGATTGACGTCAATCCCTTTTTTCGATCGTCAAGGAATTGAACTGACATTTCGTGACAGAACTCATAGGTAGGTAGATGGGTTGAAAGTGAGCGTATGGAGTCGGGCGTGGTGTATGGCACACTCCCTCTCAATTTACACGGAAGAGAGATGAGGAGGGAGAGAGCCGGGTTCGATCCCTGGCGCCCGAGTACGTACGTGCTCAAGGCTTTTTGTCGGCATCACAGACACATGTCGAAAGGAAAAGAGGAGCTATCCGCACCGCACGGTTATCTTCTGGGCTTGCTTGATTCAATCTGGAATTGGTATGATCCCGGAGAATTCCCTACTATAATGAGTCTAGTAGAGGGGTGTTTCGTCAGGCGTGGTGTACGGCACACACTCCCTCTCGTTACGGTAGGAAAGATATTTACTGGGAGAGACCCGGGTTCGATTCCCGGCACCCGAACCAAGCGGTTAACGGATCATGCCTTTTTTCGATTGTCAAGAAATCGAACGGGGAGGACTCATGGGTAGGTACGTAGATGGGTTGAGGGAAACGGTGTTAAGTCGGGTGTGGTGTATGGCACATCCTCCCTCCCACTTGTCAACCTCTGTTCGGCGAGTTTGATGGGAGAGACCCAGGTTCGACTCCTGGAGCCCGACCTGCATTGGAACCTGTGTTTTTTTTTTGTACAGGTCGGAAGACGAGCGGAGGAGCAGCGACGTTGTCGCAGCTTTTCAGACTTTCGGAATCACAACCCTCGAGAGTTGAACTATGCAGCAGAATTCAATCAAAGAATCAATTCCACGGTACCGTGATGCAGCAGAATTCAATCAAGAATCAATTCCACGGTACATACCGTGATGTACTCAGGTGGAAATTCGGGGTGTATTCAGTTTTGAAGAGGGGTTTTTCATCGGGCGTGGTGTATGGCACGCCCTCCCTCCCAGTTGTCACTGCCATGGGGAGTCTGATGGGAGAGACCCGGGTTCGATTCCTGGCGCCCGTTTGTTGGATAGCCCATGCCTTTTTACCACACTTACAATACAGGACGAAAGTTGAGCGAGTTAGAGATGCAGCTGCGTTCCTGTCTCTGCTTTTATCTTTCTACGGAGTCTGAAGCTTGAACTTGGTGGTCCCGGCCGCTGTTTTTGATGCAACACATTCTGAACATCAGTACTCACGTTGAAGTATCGGGCGTTATTCTGACGGGGGTTCTCAAAACCCCATTCAACTTTTAAAAATCAATACCACTGTGGCGGATTATTCGGCTTCAAGCCGAATAAGTTCGAAGACTCTTATTTCGTGGGGCATGGTGTATGGCACACTCTCCCTCTCACTGAGCCATCCATTGAGTTTGATGAGAAAAACCGGCCCGCGGTTACGGTTCAGGTTTGTGTTCCGTGCTCCATGGTTATGGTTTGCCGACGATAGCCGAATAGCCGAGTTTGGCCGAATTCTCACGGTTCGATGCCGTTCCGAGTACTGTTCCGATTCACCTTGCGATGAGTAAATTATCACCAGGTAGGTTCACATTTTATTGTAATAGTTCAATTCAATGTCCTGGTTTAACATCGGGCACCATTCCTGAGGAAATTTCATGTCCAATGAATATAGCACCAACTCTGGATTACATGGCACAATGGGTGTGAGAAGGTGGTATCAGTATTAGAATTACCTGTGTCTCACTACTCTCCCTCCGTCATCCTTCTTGAACGAATGGGACGCTTACAAGTTGAAAAAGGTAACCCGGCCGAATGCCGGATCAACTTCAACTGATCCGGCTTCGGTGCAGTCCAGTTGAAACTTTGATGCTAACCTTGAGTGCAGGGCACCAGAAGCACTTCCAAAATTATTAGGCCACACTAATTGTCCAAAACCTCACATGGGAAGTAAAGAAATGTTCAGAATCCCCAGTCTTAAACCACGAACTTGGCATAAAACCACGGTTGTCAACCCTGAACATCATTAATTCCATGGACTTCAACCTCGGTTCTAAACTGAATAATCAACACCGAAAAAAAATGTCATACTGGGAGGATGCGCGGTTGCTCACATTGTTCTATACCGATGTTTTGCTCGTTGTATAAGAGAACAGTTCAATACATTAACTTCAGTGGCAGTTCAGCCGCGGAGCTGATACGACGCAAAGGAAGCAAGGCAGCATGATGCGATGTTATTCTGAATCGCTGACCCTTGAAATCTCAGGAGCGCCCGAGTTCCATAGGGGTCTCTGAGACATCCCTGCTCGTTGTCCGATACAGCCGAAAGTCACTTTCGACTCTCGGAACCCATATTCTGACACCGGAATAAGATGCAACTAAATTGTTGCCGCTGTCTCCTGTTGGCATTGCCCCCGAGCGAGAAGAAGTATATTTCGCGGGGATGACAAGGTGGTGGTGGGAGCTACCTCGCGTATATAGGCCGACTTTCGATCGCTCCTCGCGGCCAGCGGTTGGTTTATTTTCCGTAACTGTATGTTGCAAGGCCATGAATGTTAATTCATTTGGTATGTGCTGTACAGTGCCATCGTCCTCGTGGTCCGGTCGTTTCTCGTGGCTGTGGTAGTAAATGAACCTTACCAGAAAATCCCCGCCGCTCATCGCCGACCTTCGGTCGCTCCTCGTGGCGGGGGGTTGGATTGTCTATGTAGGTGCAAGTTGTCATACTGTGTCCCACTCATCAAAGTTTTCACCATACGCTGGAACAACTTGAAATTTGTATTATTGCCACTGGTTGTTGATGATCGATGAATTCTTCGCCAATTTTTGGTCGGTAATGACACTGACTGTGAGAGGTTTCATGTGTCAGGTAAACTCACAATAGTACTAGATGGCAGGTGTTGATTGATTCGTCTTGTCCAATTAGAACTGCATTGAGCTTGTCAAAGTGCTATCTGCGTTTCCCGGCAATAGATTTGGCCGCTGGGGTTATGTTACTTCTGATGCTAATCTCGGTGAATAGAAATGTTGGCATTCTTCTGTCGATCAACAAAGTGTCGGAAGGACACTTTTATCGACGACCTCAAAACGGATAAAAGTGTCATGCAAGAAATGTCGGAAAGCCCAAAAAAATCTTTGAAAAGTGTCGGAGTATCAAAAACGCATTTTGACCACCATACAAAAGCTTCGTAAGTTTATAAAGAGAGAGAAATAAACAAGGATTGTTGGTGGAATCGGAGGGGGGGCGTGGGACACCCACTACCCCAAATAGGCGGACTTCTTAAGGCGTATCAGGCACGTTGCCAACTACAAGGCCTGTTTGCATCCCCTGACTCCTAGTTAGAAGCTCACGATGTATTTCCGCCATTAGCTGATCGGATCCTAGAACTGTCGCGGTGCCTCGGTTGACATGTGCGGCCAGATCGAGAATGGTGCGTATAGCGTTACCTGTCTAGCATTTTGGCTGCCCCACTCCACCACGAAGGTCCCAAAAACTCACTTCCAAGCCAGCCACAATTTGGCCTGCTCAATTCGTCCTGTTCAATTCGTCTGGTTGCGGTATCACAGGATTTTCGAAATTGTTCTTCAATGTGACAGAGAGAATCATAGAGAAGCACGAAATCAGATTCTCCGAGCCAAAGCAGTGCCCGGCATATGGCGGGGATGTCGAAGCCACTTAATGATGTTTCCGCCCCGGTAACCCGGAGACGGGACTGAAAAAGCACGAAATCAGATTCTCCGAGCCAATGCAGTGCCGGCGCCCGGCATATGGCGGGGATATCGAGAGCCACTTAAAGCCTGCGATGTTTCCGCCCCGATAACCCGTCATGGCGATCGCTCCAGGGAACAAGGAGGCATACATTGGGTGTGTCTCCTTCTCATTCCGGTGATCCTACCACTCACGCATCTGTAGGGCTTTCCTCGAGAGTATTATTTACGGCAAGTGTCCATATTTTCCGTGCTCAAACAAATATACTGTTGACTGCTCCCCCAAGGCATATACCTTTCCGCTTTCGCCGAGTGTTGTAGACTCATCTGGTTCAAACACAAGACGCAGAACTTCAAGCATGTGTACTTTCTGATTACAACCTGTCTGATGTTCGTTCTCATCACCATGGTGTGTTCGCAGCACACCTTCTCTTCAAGTATGGCTCTAATCAACACTTCACAGCAATGCGTCCTCCAGACCCTGCGCTGCATCGTGGCTTTCGGTCCAAACTTTCTCCCTCGATTGCGGTTCGGCCCCTCAGCTAACAAAATAATGGACAGATCACCCTGACCTGGATTTTGGGCCACCCAATTTGCCGTTAGGTGTGATATCCGACGCCTGCTGGTTATTCCTCACTCCGATTGCCGATGCATTCATCGTACGCTCTCTCTCACCATCCCCAACTCAACTCAGCATTTGACGTCGATTCAGATATATCGTACCTTTGTCATTTTGAATCGGAACGGGCTCATCATTCTTCTTCCTTCGATGCTTTTCGTGGCCAATGCTGGTGAGTGATTCTAGCGTAGTCTTCGAAGCCCAGAGATATTGTCCATTTCTGACATGTTGCGTGTTTCAGGCAGCTCGATATGGCTTACGATAGTCTTGCCTACCTTGAATACGGACGCAAGGCTCCATATTACCGTTGAACCCTTGGATCTGTTTTTGTCTCTCACTCTTTGTACCAATGTCATCTGTACCGGTAAGCTTTTTGGCTCGGAGATCTCCAGACAAGTAGCAAAATTGATGTAGATTCCTAGCCCTCATCTCATTCCGTATCTGGTATATCCATCGTTTGGTGGTGCAGACAGCTGTCTCCAGCGAAGTACGCACTTTGAAAGTTGTTTCTATTATCATCGAATCTGGTGAGCTCTACGCTTAGTTTCAGCCTGACCGCCCTGAAGAGCTCTTTCTCTATAGCTGCAATATATACCCTACTTCTCGCTGCAACATTGATAATCGACAGGTTTAACATCTTCTTGAACTACGTGCTCTTCGCTTGCGTGCGTAGACCTCGTCGTTTTTAATAAACTTCAAGCTTACCGATCAGTTTTGTAGATATCCCCCACTATCGTGCGTACTTGCTTCTTTCTTTCGGTATTTTGCTAAACACGGAGTACAGGGATTGGTCGTAAGTCATGCTCACCATCCTTCTCCCCTTCGTTCTCGCTCATCCTCTGACCAGTTCTCATACATCATCATCCGCATAAGCCGCGGCACAGCCTACAGCGATACCACGGAGAGTATTTCCACCATCGCCTTCAACTCCGAGTCCCA